GATAATTCGAAGAGGTATCATGACATGAAATCGGACACATAATAATCATTTCAGATTTACAATGTAGGAGTACTGTAATCAGGGTATGTAGAAATTAAGTACGACTTGAGTGCAGCAAAACTCCTGCTACAAGTTCGTACGTAAAAGAGAGAGGTAAACCGACCAAGAGGCCGAATATTCTGTTACGGAGAAAATGCACAAATTGGAGTCCTCTCGGAAAAATGTGTTTAAAAGTAAATGAAATCTACTGTCCTAGAATAGAGAAAGACCGGGTAGTTTTAAAAAAAAGGCGATGCAATCGTTCCTCCTTGGTCATTTCCTTGAACTCGCCCTGTTCTGTTCTCCGCTCGCCTTTTGTTCACTTCTAACCCGCACAGCGAAAGCACTCGCGTGAGTAGTCAGCAGCTTACGGACATGATTAGAAAATAGCAAGAGCCCTACAATGCCTCCCACGCACGTAAATGCGTATAAACGTGGACGATAATAAAGTGGGCTTTGACAGCCGTAGGACTTAGTATTAGCGGCTGGTAAGGACAGCCTTCGGAATTTTCTTTTGACCTGCGACTAAGTGGAACCAAGAATAGCCATGGTTATTAGTCCAAATTTCCGCTCAAATTTGCCAACAAGAATCCAAACAGTGCGACCTTAACTTAACTTAGGATACACGAAACTAGAAAAAGACGAAGGCAAATCTACATGGCTGCTCTACTGCTGTGGTTAATTTTAGCCAGAAATATCGAAACTACTCAAGGCGAAGAGCTACCAATCGTGACAAGTAGCACAAAAGGTAGTCGAGGGGCCCATTTCGACTGATTATTATCTGTGCCAAATTTCGCAGTAAAACGAAATATTGCCTTAAAATTAAATTCGTCTTCCGGGCAACTGGCAGTAAAATAATGGCGTACTAGAATCCCAGTTAAAATATGCTCAGCAATCTGCAGTAGTAAAGAAGATGAGTCTCTGTGCGCCCAATCTATACTCATTGGTAATCGTTATATACAGTAGATTCCCTTTCTCCTGAAATGTCACCCAGAATTCTGAAATGCGTTTTCGATTCAAACATATTGATTACGTATGGTTTTAAAAATGACGATTATACAGCCTCATCTCAATATATTTAGGTCACTTCAGGATGCCGGCTTTTTAATGAGCTTCGTTCTGACCGCTAAGTAAAAGTATGTACTACAAAAAGTGGCTACTCAGGTAGTATGCCTTTTTGTCATTGATTTTGACTGCCTTTATAGATTCAAATATATTTTGTAAAAAACATGCACGAAAAAATTATTTCTTGTACTCGTTTCGTAGCAAACTACGCCTCCTTTAAATTTTATACTTGCACTTCCGTGGCCTACCCCGACGCCAGGTGGCGATCGCATTTCGCCCCAACCCCTTAATGACAGTTGCCCGCTTCATGCAAATAGCAGCAATTACGTCACCATTTATCTGCCCTCTGATCAACGCCCACAACCTAACCCAATTCCCTACCCTCCCCCCTCCCCCAACACAAGAACCTCTGCACACGGACCCCGCCATGCGGGCGGCGTGTAAACACCGAATTTGTTTTCATACTACACTCATTAACCCTGTCCAACTGTACAGTTTTCAATACCCCTGCAAATACCTTGGCCTGATGAACATTTGCTGAAAACATATGTTTATCAAAATGACTTCTCAAATAGCTATTAACCCACCATATTCCCCGGTTATTTATAACTGTCTTGGCGGAATATGACCCGTTGAAAAGGCGCTATTCTTTCTAACTATTTCATCATTACTCGCCCTATCTGATTTCTTACTGCAGCTTGGATTTTAAGATCTTTTAGCCTGTTTCAGCCTATCGACGTTTTTCTGCTCATTTTTCGTCTCCATGCCACTGTACTTGCATCATATTGCGTTTAGCATGTACTTTTACCCAACTGGATTTTTATTGCCCCTCCTCTGTGTTACATTGTGTTAAGTTCTACCCACTTGATCATGTTGTTGAGTTGCAGTCCGCCTAAATTCCGTAAATCAGACGTCCTGCTGCGGCCAGTCGTTGCCCTAACAGACAGCCCAGCATGTAATTTGGCAAAGTGGGTGTACCCAAAACGGAGTTTCACACAAAGCGATTCGACTACCTCAGTTCGATATGCCGTTCAGTTCCTCGCATGGCTTCGAAGTCAGAAGATTTAAATAGAGGACGTCGTGGTCTCCTTTGCTGTGACCTCAATATTATATCAATTCCACCGAAATTGGCCCACGGAATCTTGCACAAGACACTTGTAGAGGCATACTACGACGCTCAGAATCCACTGGAAATTGAATACCTCATTAGACTGTTCAAATTTCGTCACAATGCATATTTAAATTTCTAGAGAAACCTATAAGCGGTTAAAATAAACTCTAATGGGCTCCCTGTTCTCCAGTTAATTGACCGAAAGGAACTAGAAAATCCTGTATTCGTCCAATATAAACTAGTCTTGTGACACTGATACGTTGATTACACGTTTGTTGACTATATAAAAAAACATGCTTTTAATCCTCTATAGCTTTTTCAACGGAATCTTACCTGATAAACAACTCAGAATTGAAGAAGTACAAAGACGTCAGTTGCCCTTCCCTGATGTACTTGTCGAGTGAACTCCAAATGGTGAAATTAAAACGATGATTGACAGGCAGACAAAGATAACCACACACAACTTCTCATGTGTCACATCAATCATCAGTTGGTTAACAAACGACGATGTGCAGGAACGCTCTTTAAACGAATGCAAACTCAGCGCAACAAACTGGAGGAAAACTTACATGAGGCCCGATATTTCCACGGCCAATTTACGCGGAACAGCTATACGAAGGCGTTTATAAGCGCATGCTTACGCGTTCTACCCCGAAAGTTTCAAACAAAACACCTCCAAAATACGGCTCCCTCCTGCCTGCATTAAGGACTTTTCGGAAGTGATCGAGTGCATTTCGTGAGGACTAGGTGTTGGTGATACACACCAGTTCAAAGTTGCCCTGCACAATAGGGTCATTAAAAAAATCAAAGACTGAAAAAATCTCAAGGAAAACTTTTGGAGTACTGTATCGTATTTTGTGCCTAAACTTTCTTCGTGACAGTCTAGTTCAAACTGAACGCAGTGCTTAGATCGTGCATCCACAAACATAAGCTAGCAGTGCGACGGGACGGGACGGTGACTTATCGCAAATAGCTGCCCACGCCTATGAAACGAACCACAATTTCAAGTTTGCAGCCC